AATTAAGAGGTGTGCTCGTGATGGGTCTGTTGAACAAAGCAATATGCTGACAGGATAAATTATGGAAAATATGTTGACTGCATAAACACCAATCAAAAAGTAAGGAGCCATTGAAGGAGTGAGGTTAAAGAAAACCATAAAAGGGGGCAGGAAGAAAGTTAAGTGTGTTGTCATTGTCGTCATCATTGTTATCATAAATCTAGCCTTCAACACCTGTCTGGACTATCCCAGCCAATGATGCAGCCTTTGCTTTAGGAACTGAGTAGCCATCTTTTCTGTTGAACAAAGGAACAGATCTGGGATTGGGTGAGATCATAGTACTAGGTGGTTTTTTTCTCTCTGAATATAGAAACTGCTAAGATAATACTTGTACTAATAAAGTTAGACTTTGATTTTAGGACACTGGGTTGTCTGTGCTCGTATTTCACATTCCATTGAAGGGTTAATTGTGCTTTAAGGATCCCTAAGCACTATCTGGTGGACAGTGGTGCTAACAATTCCTATACATTTGGTTAGTCTAGTCATGCAAATCACTATACTGATGTGAAGGGATGCTCATTCATAGCACACAACTACTCATTTCAAAGGATATCTCCTTTTAGTCTTAAATTCATCTGACCTCTGTTGACTTCTGCCTGAAATTATTTACATCGGCAGTCACAACTCTCAACACTAAAGCAATGGAGAACATATCTCATGTGAACAAGGGTCTCACAGGAGATTAAGTTTCCTGAATGAATAATTTTTGAGTGTTTCTCATTTGGGAGTCATTATTCAATGCCACATCTTTATCCAGCGTCACACTTGGCAGGCAGACACATCAATATTCACTTGTTGAGTCACACTGTCTGCTTCCAGACATGGAAAAAAATGGTGCTTTACTTTAAACTCAGCCTGCTCCTGCACCAAGCCCAGTGGATGCCCAAAAGAAACATTGCATTAGCTGGACACAGCTCGTTCAACATCTGTACAGATCGGGCACTTTAGTGGGGCTTTTTTGGCACATTTATCTAATCACTGATTGAATCAGCTTTAATTAAAAGCGCCAAAAAGCCCCACTGAAGCGCACAATCTATACAGACACTGTAGAGCTGGGTCCAAGTAACACGCTTGTGCTTCTGGTAAAGCACGCTTTTTTAATTTTTTTCCACATCTGTCAGTGCCCTAATGCCCCCAAACTTAGGTTACACTGATAACCTGCCAGCAGGGGAAAGAAACCAGAGGGTTAACATGAAATTTTTGGTTTGGGTTCCAATGTCCTGCTGTCTTTGTGATCTATTGCAGTTTCACCATTCAGCTAGCTGCAGCACTCTGGTGTATCTTGAAATCCAAGGGTGTTGCAGAGTGCCACACGATGTTAACACACTTAGATGTGCAAATATGATTCACAAGATAAACGTAACAACAGCAAACATTAATTCATAGTGCTAACAACATTCTGACCTGTCGTTATCTTTCTGAGTTCTTTGCAACATGAGAATTGCTCTATTTTTTGCAGTAAAAAAAACAAGTGAAAACTAAGAGCTAGTATTTTCTGAGGGGTGCCTTGAGTCAAAAAGGTTGAGAACCACCAGATTAAGTTGTTTTCATTGTCTCTGCAGTGAAGTGCAGCTGAAGTGTTGAAAGTACCAACTGGCAGGGAAATCTTCAAGTCACTTGTTTGCACCCATGGGCCCTAAGCCCTCATGAGACAGAAAAATGAAAACAGTCCATCTGAACAAAGCAGCCAGTATTGGAGAGAAGCAGCCTCCAGAAGTCAGAGGCCAGCACAGTAATGTGGCTACGTCTAGCATTGCACTACCACCTATGATACCAGTAACTAATGTACGTGGGCCACCAGCAGAAGAACCACCCGCAGAGAGGTGATTTAAGTAACTAAGTAAGTTGATGGTGGCTACCTGAGTTCTCACTGATCCTTGTAACGAGGTTAGTAAAACACTGGGACACGTTACCCAGAGAGGCTGTGGAATCTCCATCCTTGGAGGTTTCTAAGACCCGGCTAGACAAAGCCTTGGCTGGGATGAGATAATTGGGGATGGTCCTGTTTTGAGCAGGAGGTTGAACTAAATGACCTCTTGAGGTCCCTTCTGAACTCTCAGGCCTGGGCACATGCCTATCCCCAGTGCACCAGGCTACAGCCCCTTCACCATCTCCTCAAGGACCTCTGGTTGCACTTTTCTCTGCACTTTCTTCTTTTATGCATTACCCTACTATGCCCCTATTAAGTCACAGGACCTCCTGGCTCCAGCCACATCTAACCTGGAAGGAGGCTCTCTGGCTGAGGCAAACCTGGTGACTCTGGGGCTGCCTTTCTTTCTCTGATCTGCACACATTGCTGGGGACAGTTTTACTGGGCAGTGACTGCTGGCTCCTTGGACTCATCTGAGGGCCAGTGGGCACTGGGCAGTGTGCTGTGCTCACTGTCCCCCCCCTTGGTATACTAGTTATTACCCTTTGACCAGCACTCTGGACCCCGTTTTTTGTTTTTTGTCCCCAGTAATTAATTGTCACCTTTTCTGTAGCCTCCCCATCTGAGGGAGGCCAATAGGTTACTTGGTAGGCCTAGACTCATGCCCTTCAAGGTGACAAATAGGCCTGCGTGTAACAAACAGGCCTGATTCTCAGGCCTAGTCTATACTAGAAAAGGTTTGCCAGTAAATCGAAGCCAGTAAAGGTTTTTATTCTAGCAACCCTCTTACTGGAAACAACCAGGACCTACAAGCATCCCATATATTGGCTCCCTGCACACCCCAGTCTATCTCAGCAAAGGACTTTTAGGCCTTTATAACTGCAGTTAAATGACAGCTTTTCTCAGCATGCAAAAGCTGAAAAAAATCTACCTCCACTCCCCACTGCCATAACCAGCAACACCTAGGGTGGCCATCATAGAGGACAGTCCATTTTTCTGCTACTCTGTCCTCTGTTTTCTATTGATATGAAACCAGACGCCTTTATGTCCTCTTCTTTTCTCTTCAAGAAAAAAGTAGAGGATATAAGAACTTTCTCTTCTTAAAGAGAAAAATAGAGGTAATAAAGGCATTGGGTTTCGTAGCGGTAGAGGACAGAGCAGCAGAAAACCGGCCTGTCCTCTATGATGGCCACTCTAGCAACACCGCTTTCCCAGCACGCGGTTTTAGCAGAGGCCCAGCCTGCACAAAAGCAGACGTGCTACTTTCTGCACGTGAAGAACTGGAGTCTCCCAGCCCAGGTGCACCCACATGCGGTCACCGTCGGACCCGCTGGGGTGCTCTCAAACAGCGGCTCCCAATCTGCGGCACGGGGGGGGCACTGGTGGCGCTCAGGTGCGCGGTGACCCCGTTAATGATCCTTCCGCAGGTTCACCTACGGAAACCTTGTTACGACTTTTACTTCCTCTAGATAGTCAAGTTCGACCGTCTTCTCGGCGCTCCGCCAGGGCCGTGACTGACCCCGGTGGGGCCGATCCGAGGACCTCACTAAACCATCCAGTCGGTAGTAGGCGCTAGGGCCTGGACCAGAACTCCTTGCCGTGACAACAATTTGCTGTAAGGTTGCACCGGTTGCACTTGGCGGCGCACAATCCCTCAGAGGTGGAACCGCTGCTCTACGTTTTATGCAGCAAGTGCCCCCTAACTTCTGAACATTTGAATAAGTACCCCAACACTTAATTTTCCAGGGGCTGAACCTCTTAGCTTTGAACGCCAAAGTATTACTGGGGGATTGAAAGTGCTGCACGTTTTTTGCCATGGTTTGGAGAGGAGAAAGGGACGAGAGAGAGCGAGCATTGGGGTCCCCCCTGTCTGTGCTCAGTCTGAAGTATCCCGGGCGGCACTGCCGAGGCAGCCGGCCCAGCCCGCTCGTCGGGGAAGGGAAGCAGCCCCCGGGGTGCAGAGGCGGGACAAGCGGCCGGGCGGCCTCACCTGTACAGGTAGCCGAGCTGCAGGAGGTGCAGCAGCGCCAGGCAGGCGCCGGGGGCCAGGCGCTGCCGCAGCGCGGGCGGGTCCGCCCGGTGCCAGGCCCAGCTGAAGAGCTGCGCGGCCAGCGAGGACAGCGCCAGCAGCGCCAGCACCAGCGCGCCCCACCGGCGGTGCCCGGCCCGCACGTAGCC